TGCTTGTTCTCCTCTTGTTATTAATCTCCAGATTAATTAACAGATCGGGATAAAGGATATCCCATTCTAAAGTTTTCAACTCAAAGTGATCACAATAACCCCCCTTATTTACGCCACTGAACACTTTTATGTTTTTTTTTCAAGTAACAATACCCTATAAAGCTTTATCTGATATGAGTTAGAGATATTAATGTTTGTAATTTTGAAAATTGATTTCTTTTGAATTATGGTTTCTTTGCTAAAGTGAGTTGCGCATTTCACCTTCAGGAAAACATAAAGGAATTATCAAAATTAAACACTTCCAAAGCTAGAAAAACGACAATATCTTCTACATTATTGATTAAAGGGCCGGGGACCGTTGTGAATGATCTTTGCATTGAGGGTAACTTGAAATTACGCTTACAATTTTTTTAAGCAAGACCCTGCAGTAGTTTTATCATCATTATAGATATAAAAGATTTTGATAATCGTGATGTAAGGATGTAATGGAAAAGAAGAAATTTCTTGCCATATTTTAGTCCTTTTTGAACATGATATACCTCTTACGTAAAGATATTTAAACCTTAAAAGAAGTTTTAAATCGATGTAAACGAGTGTTTATCAGACCATTTGTAAAAATATTTGAAAAGAATATTTTTTTTTGACCATAAAATACTTTAGTTCAGCGTGATTTGACCGTAACATACTTTAGTTCAGCGTGATTTGATCATAACATACTTCAGTTCAGCGTGATTTAACCGTAACATACTTTAGTTCAGCGTGATTTGACCATAACATACTTTAGTTCAGCGTGATTTTACCCTAACATACTTTAGTTCAGCGTTATTTGACCACAACATACTTTAGTTCAGCGTGATTTGACCACCGTAACATACTTTAGTTCAGAGTGATTTTACCCTAACATACTTTAGTTCAGCGTGATTTAACCATAACATACTTTAGTTCAGCGTGATTTGACCGTAACATACTTTAGTTCAGCGTGATTTGACCACCGTAACATACTTTAGTTCAGCGTGATTTGACCACAACATACTTTAGTTCAGCGTGATTTGACCGTGACATACTTTAGTTAGCGTGATTTGACCATAACATACTTTAGTTCAGCGTGATTTGACCGTAACATGCTTTAGTTAGCGTGATTTGACCATAACATACTTTAGTTCAGAGTGATTTGACCGTAACATACTTTAGTTAGCGTGATTTGACCATAACATACTTTAGTTCAGCGTGATTTGACCATAACATACTTTAGTTCAGCGTGATTTGACCATAACTATTAAGTAAAGCATAAAATCCTTTAGAAAATTCTAAGAATTTTCAGATTCTCTTCTTTCATCAAGTAAACCCTCATTTTAATTTTCAATTTCACGTTTGTTAACAAATTAATTAAATTTTTAAATCAAATTTATCAAAGTTAGCAGGAATATCAAATATATACTAAATACAAAATATCGTGAAGTTACATGGTTTAAAAAAAAAATTAAAAAAATCTTTTACATTACGATAGCAAAATTCGCGAATGCCATAGTTTATAGTTTATTTGATCAAAAAAAATAAATGGGTTTAGCAAAATAACAAATTTTCATTTAGTTACGTACAGGGAGAACCAGAAAACAGTGGAATTCTTGTCAATTGTTAAGTGAACTAGGAAAACAAAGGCTAGATCCACTGCTTTGGTTCTTACTGTCTGTAATTAAGAATTGGAAGCGGTAAGCTTTAAAGTCCATAAGGTTCAAATTGTCAAACTTTTAGCGGGTTTGTCAGAAAACCGGTTTTCTTGCAAATTTTGTAAATTTCAGAAGATTGCTTAAATAAAATTCATAACACTTTCAGGGGCGTAAATAAGGATTCTGTAGGGGGGGGGGGNAAATTTGAGAAGGGAGGGAAGGGGAGGGGGAGGAGGGGGAGGGAGAAAAGAATACCAGTCTGCTAGAGAGTCTAAATTTGAAAATTCATTAAAAATTGTTCCATTTTTTATTTCTTTTAAACCTCATTATTATATACTCTGTTCCGAGAATACAATATTGACGGAGTTAAATTAGGACTGTTTAAATCCGTTAATCTTCAAACAATTTTGTAATTATTATTTCTCTTTCTAGACATTAAAGTGTCTCAAATACAATTTTATTTTGTTAAAATATCAGTTGAAATTTTGTTAAAAAAAGAATAGTTCAAAAGAAATATTGTTTAAAATATTTCCTCCTTTACTATAAATATGTTAGTATGTTCTTGGGGATTTTTCACAGGGTGTACCAATTTAGAACGAAAAAGTTAATGAAAATTAGAATGGACGAACACTGTACGGCTTATGGGCTTTAACAATTTTATAGTTTACCTGTTTGATATTTCAAGCTATGCGTTATGTTTGATCAAATTGTCTAAGTTTGAAAAATCAAAGGTTTAATGTATTAGGTTGTAAAAATATAAGGATCGGAAAATCTGAGTTTCTGTCAAAAACTCAATTAATCTATGTCTCAATTTTGGTAGATATTCCGTTAGGAGTGGCACGAAGATTTGTGAATTTCTATCAACGTAATAATTTATTTATAGAACCTATAGTGGCCGATATAGTCCCAGGATTAAAGGAAATTGAACTCCGGAGGAGAATATTAAACTATCCGTTACCAGTAAATTATCAAACAGTTCAAACAGAAAAAAAAGATCTTTTTCTCAACTTTTTTCCAGGTTTTATAGGATATTTATAGTTTTGTATTAAGATAAAGAGAATAGAGAAGAAATCTTGACCCTTTATAGTTAAATCACAACATTTCCAATTTCAAACCTTTATTTGATAACAAGGAATGAGATATCCTAGTTTTTCTACATTAAAAATGGATTATTTAATATGTTGGTTCTCTGTAAAATTAACTTGCGGATTTCTAGCAGCCGAGATGATTGAAGAAAATTGTCAAATTCAAAGATAACAAGGAATGAGATATCCTAGTATTTCTACATCAAAAATGGATTATTTAATATGTGGGTTCTCTGTAAAATTAACTTGCGGATTTCTAGCAGCCGAGATGATTAAAGAAAATTGTCAAAATTCAATACTATTCATTATTACGCTATCTTACGCACTGTTACTTGAAATTATTTCTACAGAAAGAATGTTAAATTAATCAACATGTATTCCGATTCAATGATAACATTTTGTTGTTGTTGTCTGTCTTGGGTGTGTCTAAAGCAGCCCTAGTTACTTAAGAATGGATAATTTTAATAATGATTACTTTTGTTGTAGTTTCTTATAGAGACTGTTCACCCTTTTTTTAAATACTATACAAAAAAAACAAATCTTTTGAATTCACAAATTATTGTTAATGGCAGAAACTTTGTTTTTTGGATATTATTCATATTTTCAGCTCACCTAGTCATCACCCCAGTCTAAAAGTGTCATGATCCATGCCGGTACAACACGTACTATATAATGCATTCAGTTGTACAGTCCAGTCATGGCTACCCAGTGTAGAGTCCACCCAGCACGTTTTATGCAACAAATGTAGCCTGGCAGAATCACAGTGAAATGATGAATAAACGTTACATAACATCCTTTAAATTTAGTTATCATAATTTTTAAACATTTTTACTAATAAACATTTTTCATTATTTAAGGGTATAATTTTGCAACTACATTCTACAGTCACGCACCTCTGCCCCTTTAGTAAAAGTAAATTCAACCTATATGATAAAGTCTGACCGCGTCAACCTTGTTGCACCGGCTAGTCCTGTCCATAGAGCTAGGTACAGTACAAACTGGGACCGTAAAGGTTGAACCGTCTCGGAAATTCAAATGTACTACTGCTGACCCTTGAGTCGCATTTTTACTTATTGTGTAAATTCAAAATTTATTTTTTCCTCTTTTTTATTTCCTTTATTTCAGTTTACTTAATCTTCAATTATAATTAAATGTTAAGGAACAGGGACGCCTTATTTAATAGAAAGGTTTTTCAAGAAATGCTTTGAAAAGCGGTACTCGACCTAAAGAAACCCAACTTAAATTAAACGGACAAAAAGATTGGACAAGATTTGAAACAAGTTTATAGTTGAAAAGTATCACAATTATATATAAGGAAACATGCAGTTTACGCTTTGTACAGTCGTCCTGTATCATATCCTTCACATCAGCCCGATTTATTCACAGAGGGGCGGGTAGAAGTATTTTCTTGAACCCACCCGACATTTACATACCGTACAACTTACAAGCACTTTTTTACGACCCATGCGGCTACCTAGCAGAGCCTAAGTAAATACAGGCTCGCTCAAAAATGATGAAACTTTTATGACGAACTTGACACACATTTGATGTTTAGAGTCTTTTAATTGTGTTACAAGATGATCCTGTATGGAAAACCTTTAGCTCAGTTTTCCCAAGATCCTCTGATAAATAAAACAAATAAATTAATTATATTATTTAGAATCCTCGCTCTGCTCCAGTGTTAGTTCAACCAGCTCACTCAGTGACGTCAGCTCTGTAAGCAACAGTAAACTTGATTACCAAAGGTTGGACTTAGAATTATAATTTTAGTTTAATTTAGTCTGGAATTTAATCTGTTTGTTTAGTTTGCACTTTAATCTGTTTGTTAGTCTAGACTTTAATCTGTTAGTTTAGTTTGCACTTTAATCTGTTTGTTTAGATTAGACTTTAATCTGTTTGTTTAGTTTGGACTTTAATCTGTTTGTTTAGTTTGGACTTTAATCTGTTTGTTTAGTTTGGACTTTAATCTGTTTGTTTAGTTTGGACTTTAATCTGTTTGTTTAGTCTAGACTTTAATCTGTTTGTTTAGTTCGGACTTTAATCTGCTTGTTTAGTTTGCACTTTAATCTGTTTGTTTAGTTTGGACTTTAATCTGTTTTTTTAGTTTGCACTTTAATCTGTTTGTTTAGATTATACTTTAACCTGTTTGTTTAGTTTAGACTTTAATCTGTTTGTTAAGTTTGCACTTTAATCTGTTTGTTTAGATTAGACTTTAATCTTTTTGTTTAGTTTAGACTTTAATCTGTTTGTTTAGTTTGGACTTTAATCTGTTGACTTTAATCTGTTTGTTTAGTTTGGACTTTAATCTGTTTGTTTAGTTTGGACTTTAATCTGTTTGTTTAGTTTGGACTTTAAATGGAGTGACCGGCTATGTAAGGTAGTTGAACCGAGTATGCAGTGTATGCATATATATGTATACATGTATGCATAATTAAACAAAACTAATTCTGAAACCTATCCACCCCCAAAGTAGGAGTTTTGAACGTCGAATTTGCACTGGAACTCAGGATTTACAGATCTTTAAAAAGTTTAATATGTCTCAAATGAATCCGAAAGAAGTTTTCTACAACACTGCCTTTCATAGCCGGTCACTCCCTTTAATCTGTTTGTTTTGTCTGGACTTTAATCTGTTTGTTTAGTTTGGACTTTAATCTGTTTGTTTAGTTTGCACTTTATACTGTTTGTTTAGTTTGGACTTTAATCTGTTTGTTTAGTTTGGACTTTAATCTGTTTGTTTAGTTTGGACTTTAATCTGTTTGTTTAGTTTGGACTTTAATCTGTTTGTTTAGTTTGGACTTTAAGCTGATTATCGACTGTGTGAAGAGTGGTGATCAGCTGGTTCTACATTTGGTAGCTCCAACTAAACAGGAGAAAGCAGCCTGGGTCACAGATATTACTCAGGTACAGGGTGTCAAGGGTGTATAGTTTTTGAAAAATAATTTATCCCCAAAAAGGATAAAACAATGACATAAAAATTGGACGTTCAGACACTTTTGGTTTTATTCAATTAACTGAAAATACAAGACTCATGATGTCTACAGAGTAAAAACTATTGCCTTTCGATTATTTTTTATGTAAAATAAAATTGGCATCGAAATGCCGCAAATATTTTCTTACGTCTCTCAACTGTCATGTTTTCGAGACATACACTGTATGCTTTATAACACATTAAGCTAAAACATATTTAATTTTAGTATCATAACTCCTTTTTCTAAAAAACAAACTATTTTTCAGAAATAAGGTTGGAAATCCTTATTTGCTACTAAATGCTTTCCTCACACTTGATTGTAAAATCAAAAGAAAGAAGAGTTACTAAAACGCAAAGTTACACCAATATTCCTCTTATTCAACCAGATATCAATATAAGTAACATCAAAAGCAGAAGAGTTACTAAAACGCAAAGTTACACCAATATTCCTCTTATTCAACCAGATATCAATATAAGTAACATCGTTAAGTATGTAATTATGTACAGAAAAATTTTAAAATACGTTTTGTTAAAAATCACGATTAATATTAATTATGTTCTTTTATCCAATACTCTCTCCCACTATCATGAAAATTAATTAATTCTGAAGATATTTTACACTGCGTCATCAACATTGTCTATTTATAATAAAATTTCTTTATAAGATTAATTACGTTTTAAATTTTCTACGCACTAGAAAAAGTGTGTTGTTATTTTTTGTTTTACATTTTTATTTTTTATCATTAGAATTCAATTTTGAAATGATAATTTTTTAATAATATTTTTATTTTTATCATTATCATGATTTTTAATAATGTTATTATTTTTATCATTAGAATTCAATTTTGAAATGATGATTTTTTAATAATATTTTTATTTTTATCATTATCATGATTTTTAATAATGTAATGGAAAAGAAGA